CAGGTAAACACCTGAGGCCTCAGGTCCTTAATCACACCCTTCTCCCACCCTATAACTTGACCTTTTCCACTCTTCAACTTTCCTGGTCCCTTAAACCCCTTGGCTCAGACCCCTCCTTCCCCTGAGGCTCTACAATGGCCTCCTATTCGTGTAGTGTTCCCAATCTCCATCTCTTCCCTCTGCCCTCCGGAGACAGTCTGAGTGCCTCTGCATGGGCTCCCTCCTCCCCTGCCCCAGTTCCTTCCTTCCTCTCCATCCCCATCCCTCCCTCCATCCCTTCACAGACCCTACTCTCTGTGCCTGGGAAGTGAAGCAACATTTTAACAGGAGCAGGTTTTATAGGCAGATTCCAATCTTGAGCCTGATTCTTACCAGCTGTGTGGCCTTGGGCATGTTGTTTAACTTCTGTGGTCCTCTAGCTCCTCATCTATAAAAATACTTTCCTCAAAAATGCTGGGTGAGGATTAAATTACACCGAACCCTTAGCACAGCATGCAGCACATTATAAACATTTAACAAATATGGTGCCAGGTGCAATGGCTCACGCCTATAAATCCCAGCACTTTGGGAGGCCAAGGCAGGAGGATCATTTGAGGCCAGGAGTTCAAGACCAGCCTGGGCAACATAGTGAGACCCTGTATCAGTCAAAAAATAATTAAAAAAAAAAATCAGCCAGGCTTGGTGGCATGAACTTGTAGTCCCAGCTACCTGGGAGGCTGAGGTTGGAGGATAACTTAAGCCCAGGGATTCAAGGCTACAGTGAGCTATGATCGCACCACTGCATTCCAGCCTAGGCAACAGAGCAAGACCCTGTCTCCAAATAAATAAATAAATATTACTAGGGTTATTATTATTTTATTATTATTAAAAGAGTAAGGGGAGAGCAAGAGAAGGGGCAGGAGGAAGGTCAGGGCTATTAAAATGAGAACTCTTGGGATGCTCAGAGCAAGCAGAGGGAGAAATCAGAACATTTCTATTTTTTAATTCTTTCCCACCAGAATATTTTTTATTCAGGACAATTTGTTGTAGGCATCAAATAATTTTTAATCTATGCTGGGTCCTAGCAGGATAAGTGCCAACATTGCCAACAGAGCTTGCGGGGACTATAAGTGCCTTAGTGTGCTAAAGCAGAGAAGATATTGCTTGATGTATTTTTGAAGCTGAAGTGCTTCCAAGTTTGGTAGTTCCAATTCTGTTATTTCTTAGGAAAGTTTTTTAATAACAAGAACATGAAGGAAGGCCGGGCGCGGTGGCTCATGCCTGTAATCCTAGCACTCTGGGAGGCCAAGGTGGGCGGATTGTTTGAGCTCAGGAGTTCAAAATTATATCTAGCCTTTGGGGAAAAAAAGAGTGATTCCCAGGTTTCTGGCCTGAACATGGGTGGACAAAGGGATGGAGAAACCCTGGAAAAGTCTTCAGTCACCCATCTGGAGCTGTGTAGACCTCGACTTGTGTAGAGCCTGGTGACCTGGAGCTGGTGCCTGGGCCTCCTTCCTCCTCAAAGCCTGAGAGAGGGTCACAACGTCACCCGCACTTCTCTTCTGGACCCCACAGTCCTAGGCTCTGCCCTTTCATGCTGTCGATGCTGTGGCCATTCTCTCTAGCTAAGGTTATCAGGTTTAGCAAAAAAATAAAAGTCACTGAGTTCATTTTGAATTTGCTGTTTATCTGAAACTCAGATTTAACTGGGAGTTCTGTATTTTATCTGGCAATCCTTCTTCTAGCCTAACCTCTATGACTTGGAAGCACTGAACCTGGCTCTGCTTCCTTGCTGTGTGACCTTAGCCACATTTCCTCACCTCTCTGAGCTTCAGTTTTCTTCTCTGTAAAATGGTCAATAATTCTTTCCTCAATGAGCTGTTAAGAGGATTTACCAAGAAAAATATAAGAAAAGGACCTCTCCATGATGCCTGGCACATAGTAGGCCCTGTGCAAACATTTGCCTCTTCCGTCCTGGTCTCCTGGAGATGCAGGGCAGATATGCTGTCCAATGAGTGCTCTGCCTCCCTTCCCACGTTGCCCAGGGATTGGACCCCAGGATTTCGCAGTACCCTTTTATATTCTCCTTCCCTTCCCTAATTTTTCCTTTCCTTAGTTTCCTGAACTTTTGTCCATGA